TAAAGCGATGCCAACAAATTTCAAATAAGAAACATAAACATAAACAGTATCTACTTAAAGAATTTTCTTTCAAATGAATTATCCCTCCAAAAAAAAAATATCTACATATCTCTTTTTACACATTTACAGGCTTCGATTCTTTTCCCTACAAATTTTCTTTCCTTTCCTCAAATGGAACTAATCTATCTAAATGTACTTTATTTTTATCTTTTCGTTTTTTCGTCTTTTCGTTTTTCGAATGCAATAAATTACATCATTCATTTTCCTAATCACTTCGTAAGGTCTTTCCCAACTACTTTGCAACTTGGGACCCTACATCATTCATTTTCCTAATCACCTCGTAAGGTCTTTTCCAACTACTTTGCAACTTGGGACCCTATCTCGCATTCTTTGATTATAAAACTAAACTTTCTCAGGCACAATTTAATCGCCTATCCTTCTGATTGTAATTCATTTTTGTCTTTTGTGACCTTAAATCCATACGTTGGCTCGCAACATATATATAAATATATGTTACATATCTTTATACATATATTTAATGAATGGAATATGTTCATATAGTATTATTTGATTTGTTATTTTATAACATAATATCGAGATAAATGTTATGTGAGTTTTATATATACTTATATCTTCTATCTTCTGTCTTCTAAAATATAATGTATTCATAAATATTTATTTCTATAGATAAGGACAATGATTAATGATGAGTTGATATTATATTACTTGTATGTATTCTATAAAGAATATTTGTTGTGACAAAATATATTAATTAATTTAAAATTAAACAAAACGTTATATATTTTAATGAAAGAGAGAAAAGAGGAGAGGGGGAAGGGGAGAGAGAGAGAGAGAGAGAAGAAAGAGAGAGAGAGAGAGAGAGAGAGAATACAAGCAATAATTATTTTAAGATAAAGCTCTCATATGACTTCGAGTCCTAATCATGATCTCAAGCTTCTTTCTAAATAGCAGCATGTGCACAGCATAGCTTGCATAAATTTTTAGCTTACAATTAGTGCTTTATAGCATTATATTATATTTATTTATATATTAAAAAATGGGCACAATATATATGTACATGTAACATAATCTAATATATTACATAATCTATATATTAGTATAAAGAAAAATGTACATATTTATAATTGTATAAAAATTGCACTGGATAAGTCCTATATATGAAAAAGAATTTGCCTTATCGATCTAGAATTTGCAATATTAGCAATAACTTTAATACTGTTTTACATTAAATTTAAATTATTTTAGATGATTGTCTCTTATATACGAAACATACAAAGAATGTTAAATACATGTAGTAGTTTTGCCTGATACAGTAATTTACTAAATAGAATTTTTATCATTGCATGATCTTCATTATAAGATATTCATTATGTTCAGGAAACACAATAGTACAAAACAATACAAAAGTAGCACTCAGCAATCATTGGCTGCGCTCAACAGAAAGAAAAACGTAATATACACTTTGCACTAATTGGATTGTATTTTCAGTTCTAATCTGAGATAAGATTATTGTAAGTTTGGATATGAAAATATAATGCAATCAGTGCAAAGCACTTGCTAAGCTGCTTTTTTGGTTAAACACAGCTATTATCTGTGATTGGAAAGATTATTTAAATTCACATTAAATCTGAAAAAACATACCATTAATAGCAAGCGATCATTTAATGGTTGCTCAACTATTGTGTTTTTTAAACACATTACTATATGTTTATCGTAATACTCAATCATATCTCCTTTTATTAAATCTAAAGAATATTATTGTTATATTCTGACAGATATTTTTTATATTAATTTGGAAAAATAAATGCTAACAACTTTATAACACGATCAATCGAATTATCCGAAAGAACTGAGATACTTATTATACTTACTTATTGTTTCAGGAACATTGACTGTAAACGTGAGCGTATTGCTGTTAAGCTTAGCTTCTCCTGACGAGTCCAGTCTGGTAATATAATTATGTCTCTTTTTATTGTTTTAGTTAAGTAGAAAAGATAATGTAATTCTTAATTACATTGTCCAACAAAATGTCTTTTTTTTAATCGAAAACGAATAATCATTTCTATATATTTTTACATATCGCTTACGAATCAGTTATCAAATTTAGCTATCAGGATAAAATTTTGAGAAAAATTCTGACATCAAAAAAGTCAAAAACAACAATTTTGAGGATTATAGCATTGGCAGGATTTTTCTTTTAATTTTATTAACGTCAAAAATGTTAACTTTAAATTACATCTTGTTTCATATATGATTTTTCGTTTTCGAAATGTATCAATTTGAAAACAGATCTCTATTTATATAGGGTATAAAAAATATCGGAATCCCTAAATATCTCGAAAAATATAAGTTTTATAAAAAAAGAGTTTCAAAAGAAATTTGGAAAGTTCTATCTATTGATCTTATCTTTATTTGATTTCGAGTGACGTCACTAATCAAGTCAAAGTCACATCGATTTTTTTAAATCAAACTCCATTCTTGATTCCAGAATCTAATAACTGGTGCCAAGAGCTTTTTAAAACACTATGATGAAGTTTATTTTTATTAAGTACTTACGAATTATGAAACTTGAAAGTTACAGTCTTCAGCATTAGCACAGGGATCTTAAACTTATTAACGTGTTATTTCCGGATTGTTAATTCTAGACTTTTTGACCGAATTATTTGCCAATTACTTCTTATCAACGGATTCCATGAGAATGAATGTATGCAATCTTATTCCTTCTTTTTTCTCGCACGTGTTTTAAAACGTGCGCGAAACCCAAGTGTAACAAGAATAGTGCCTTGCCTTTGCCTCATCGGCAAATACGTGAGATAAACATTTCACGTTCATCAGAGTTAGATCTCTAGTTTCGTACCATTCGAATCTTCGTTTACGGTCTTCTTCATTTAATGTCTAACTTTGTTTATTGTCATCTGCCACGCGCGCTCTGCATTAGATTTCGCTGCAAATTTTTTGGAATGTTCTCCATAAGTCCTGTAGGTCCACCTGATTAGTATGCCTATACAACTCTAATGATATTGCTGACATACTTCTAATGCTTAGTGAGTACAGAGATAACTATCACAGAGCTGCAGTTTTGTATCATTAGAAGTTTCCTAGAAAGCACTCAAATAGTAGTGATGATTTGCATAATATAGCGTCGTAAATAACGCAGAATTCGAAGACGCAAAGATCTTAATAATATTAAAGATATGCGTGTCATCGCTGTATTAGGGATGGTTGCTATGAATTCACATGTGAGCATTCGACAAATAGAGAGCGAGTTAAGCACAGTTCCAAGAAGCACAGTTTCCAGTTTACAATCTTTAAAGTCTGACCATAACCGTTTTACACAGATACTGCTGATAATAACATGATACGTAGGGTCGAATTTTACAGATGGTTGCAAGAAATGTTGCGAGATGATCCAAATTTTTTTGGCTATGCCAAAAAATAACTCCCTATAACTTTTGGAAGAATTTTTTATATCTACTACAGTTTTCGAGAAATCTTAATGCATTTAAAATGGAATACCTTCTATA